GGGGGGGGGGGGGGGGTCTATGCACAAGGCATTCCCCTTGGAGTGTTGGGTCCATTCACATCGTCGTATTGCGGTACCCCGGTGCAATTTACACATTTCCCAATCTCATGCTCATCAGTTGAGTGTCTACTTTATCCTTGCTATAAAGTTTGCTGAATTTACTTTTCCCAGCACCATGCCGGGGAGACTTTTATAGAGTATCTGAGCACAAGAACAACAATGTAATATATTGCAGATTTCCACTCAGATTTTTATTTTTACCTGGTGATCCTGCAGGCAACAAACTTCCTGTCCAAGGGTGACAACGCTCACTCACTGCTGTGTACCTGTTGTCAGGACAGGGCAACACAACACTTCCCATTTATACTTCGCCCTTATCCCCCATCATACACTACTGGCCATAAACCTCCAAGTCATTGGCTAGGGAGACGCATACATTCACCAGCATTGGTTACCTTGCTCTGTGACAAGGTGACACCCAGCAGCAGGCAGATGCAAACAATAACAGTGGCGGAGGTGTTCTGTAGTCCACATAGGAGAACTGGGCAGGGCTCTTTGCACAGTTGTCGGCTCCCAGTATTTAAGGCAGGATCATCTGATATTTGTTTGCACTTTACCAAAAACACTTCCATTGGTATATTTAACAGACCAAAGGGCAGCAATTATAAGAAGATCATTGTTAGGGGTGACATACATTGTTTTATAAACCTCTTCCTCTCGAGAATTGCTAGCCAACAATGTTCACACCTGCTGGCTTCTTAATCCCTGCTGTCCTGACAGCTCCGGTCCTCATAGGCAATTGGGAAGCAGTCAAAGTGGTTTCCAAGCATGATGTCATCATTGTCTGCTATGACATAGTGATCACAGGCGGGCTTAATCCACAAAATATGGCTTTAGCCTGAAGGTGGGCAATGTTTATCTGTTTAATACTGTAATAAAAAAAAACACAATTTACAGTACTAAAAAAAATGATGTTTGTTGTTAGCCTATAATAAAAGTAAGGTTTTTTGTAATTAAAACAGCGCACCATAAAAGTGTCTTTATATGGCCTTTAAAAAATATAAATACAGAAGGGTTCATCTTCTGTTTGCCGAATTCTAGTGCGCAGGGTGGAGGGCTGTCGGCATCCTTCTGTTGTGGAACTAAAAGTATTACTGATCAGATTAGATGAGACACATCTGGAACTTGTAGTCCTCCCAGTGTTCTGTCCTCGTCCATCCTTGTGTTGGTGGGGACAGGCCGACCTTCATCTCACACGGTTGCTTGATGGAAGCCCTGTGTACTGGCAGGTCAGTGCTGGTGAATATGCGCAGTCAGGAAGGTCTGGATATGTTTTGTGATGAAGGGCCGTATACCAGTTTTGTGTACAATGCCGGACCTCGCTGATGTTCCCGCTTCTTGTCTTTCAGAGCCGTGCCAGAGACGCGTCTTAAGAGAAGATAACAGCAGATGGCGCCAGAGGAGCGGCACAGTCTTCACCACTGACAAACATTTCGATAGAAAAATGGCACATTTTCTTGATCCTCGTCCCGCCAGTCTTTGATTGCAGTGTACACTTATTGTAACATTCGTGTCGTGGGGTATAAATGTCGGCTTATCTCTCCTCCCCCGATTCGCTGCGTCAGGCCATGTGAGATCAGATCTAAAAAATGTATGTTATTGGCCTATGAAATGAATAATGCACCAAAGTCAGACCTGAGATCTGCTGAAAGAACTCTATTTTTTTTACCCAAGAAAACAAAGTCGATCTTATTTGCTGGTCCTGCCCAATTGGTCGGAGCTGTTAGCGCGCCCCTTGTATATAGTACCGGAGATTTGTAATATATTTTTATATTATGAACTTTACCTTCCTGTAGATTTTTGTTTTTAGAAGCCCGAGAATTATTGTACATACCGGGAAATTATGAAGTCCAATCATTAGGCCAGATTTCCCTTTTTTATAATGAAATGAAAGAAGCACCTTTGTACCAATAACGACGTCCCCGCACAATAATATGGTCGCTGATCGGGGGCTCCGGTGACGTCCCTGCGTCTCACGATAGGGCGCTCTGTGTTGTCACCCTCCGTATTATAGAATTGTATAAAAGGGAACGCCGCAGGCGGGGCGGTGGATGAACGCGCTCTTGTGCTCGGACAGTTTTATATTGAGGCGCACAAAGGAGTCTCTGGTTGCCGCTGTCCCACCTGCAGTCCTTCCCCTCTTCTATAGTGAAAGCACTTCCAATGGCTCTGCCCTGTATACTGTCACTAGGCACCGTGAGATGCCCCAATTCTGATGTAGTTATTTGTTTCTTATGTATTTGGCCTTCTATCATGGTGTGACGGAACCTTGGTGGAATTTTGTTTTTTATTAATTTTTACAATAAAATATTAGAAGATGAAGTAGAGTTGTGTCATGTGATTCCTCTACACCCCGCATGCCGGAACACTTAACATTGGCCGGGCACAGGGATGGTGGGAGCTCCTCATAATGGGCACAGCAGGTATACAGACCCAGGAACTCGGCACAGGGATGGTGGGAGCTCCTCATAATGGGCATAGCAGGTATACAGACCCAGGAACTCGGCACAGGGATGGGGGAGCTCCTCATAATGGGCACAGCAGCTATACAGACCCAGGAACTCAGCACAGGGATGGTGGGAGCTCCTCAATGGGCACAGCAGGTGTACAGACCCAGGAACTCAGTACAGGGATGGGGGAGCCCCTCATAATGGGCACAGCAGGTGTACAGACCCAGGAACTCAGTACAGGGATGGGGGAGCCCCTCATAATGGGCACAGCAGGTGTACAGACCCAGGAACTCAGCACAGGGATGGGGGAGCCCCTCATAATAGGCACAGCAGGTGTACAGACCCAGGAACTCAGCACAGGGATGGGGAAGCCCCTCATAATAGGCACAGCAGGTGTACAGACCCAGGAACTCAGTACAGGGATGGGGGAGCCCCTCATAATGGGCATGGCAGGTGTACAGACCTGGGAACTCAGTTCAAGGATGGTGGGAACCCCTGAAAATGAGCATAGAAGTTCCACTGTGCCCAGTGTTTGTACACCTATAAACTCAGGAACTCGGCATAGGGATGGAGGGAGCCCCTCATAATTGACACGAGATGTGCAGACCTGGAACTCTGCTCAGGGATGGTAAAAGACCCTCAATGAGCGCAGCAGGTGTGCAGAGTCACGATCTTGCCCACAGAAACTCTTAAGGAACCGATAGTTGTCTTGTATTCTTCAATTCCTTATACAGTATTTTGGGTGGAGTGATCCTCCTAGAACTTGTTCTCACCATTTCTATTGTCATGCATGCAAAACAATTAGTGGGATTACTCCCACCACTGTGTACTGACAAGTGGTCGATGGTGCTGTTCGGGTGAATTGTAATGAATTTTGTCAGACAGAACAAAATGCTTGGACTCCCCGTCTGCCTGTTTTACGTGCGTTGTCAGGCATTCTGATAAGCGCTCTAAACATCATTATTAGTTTTACCCCCCCAATGTTCCCGGCCTTGTGCAGAGGATACATTGTATTCCAGCACATTGTGATAAGATAAGAGGAAATGACTGGGAATAAATAACAGCAGATAAGAGGATGAAGAGCCAGGTACCTCCATCCCCAATGCCAGGAGGCTTCGTACAGACAACACTCATTATCCATATTATTTACTCTTTATGAAGGATGGCGAGCAATGAGCGGCAGCTGCATCTGGTGACCGGAGGAAACATGTCACATAGTCCATGTGGTAGGTGATATTCTGCATATATCCCATGCATGTCACACGGGCACTGTATACAAGGTGGTGCACTCCAAGAGTTGAGGATCGCTACAGATCTTTGAGTGATCGATAGAATAATCCAAGGCAGTAACACACCACCTATAAGCGATGATGATTTGGTTGGACTGAACCTGTAAATTTACATGTCACTGCTCCAGATTTGTTCTATTTGCCCCCCATTTTCTGCTTCCAGTTCTATAGAGGCTCCACTGGAATCACATGATGAGTGCAATGCTGAGAGTAGTACCTGCAACACGGCGCAATTTATAAAGAAAACTAAAATCCATAACTAGACCTACAGATATATCGAGAACCAATATATCTTCTGCACACTTCTCTCCACACTGTCCCAGATCATGCCAGACTTTCCCACAATGTGATGAAGATCCCATGGACGCCACACTGTCCCCAGTGCTGTCAGGTAGAGTCATGTCTTCAGCTGGAATGATGGAACAGTGCAGGACATGGAGCGTCTCCTCAGGTAAGTAAGCACTAAGATGGGAAATGTTCATCCCATTGACCACCAGTGCCATGGAAAACTCGGATGCATCCGAATTTCCGAAAATTCGTCCAAAACGAATTTCGGAACGAACCGAATCGCACATGTCTACTATATACTCCTGACCATGCACTGTGGATGCAGCATTATTCATTACATATTCCTGACCCTGCACTGTGGATGCTGCATTATTCATTACATACTCCTGACCTGCACTGTGGATGCTGCATTGTTCATTACATACTCCTGACCCTGCAGTTTACAAGCTATACAGCAAGGCCTCAATACAATACAATACAACAGCAAAAAGCTTTCCCAGCACACTCACAAGCAAGCATGCAAAAAAACTTCTCACCGCTAAGGTTAAAAACAGAGGTTTAGATACACGGCTTCTGCAAAAAATGTGAAAGCCGCACAGCCGCGCCAAGGCACCTCTATATAGTGCAGTCCTAACGCTAAATTATGAGTCTCCATCTTGATGAGTGCGTTTGCCATTTGTTTTGCTTGAATGATTTGGTGCAGTGACGCATGGGGGGTCTCAGCTGCTGTTGGGATATGCGGGATCCCTTGTGCGTCCCTGTGCCTTTAAGGAGGCGGGGCTTCCTCTTGACAAACCTGTACCCAATTTTATCTTTTGCCATATGTGCTCCAAGATGGAGACTCTCATAGTTTAGAGTTAGGATCGCACTATATAGAGGTGCCTTGGCGCGGCTGTGCGGCTTTCACATTTTCTGCAGAAGAAGTGTATCCAAACCTCTGTTATTAACCTTAGCGGTGAGACAGGTTTTTTTGCATGCTGGCTGGTGAGTGTGCTGGGAAAACTTTTTGCTGTTTTATTACATACTCCTGAACCTGTATTGTGGATGCTGCATTATGCATTACATACTCCTGACCCCGTACTGTGGATGCTGCATTGTTCATTACATACTCCTGACCCCGTACTGTGGATGCTGCATTATGCATTACATACTCCTGACCCCGTACTGTGGATGCTGCATTGTTCATTACATACTCCTGACCCCGTACTGTGGATGCTGCATTATGCATTACATACTCCTGACCCCGCACTGTGGATGCTGCATTGTTCATTACATACTCCTGACCCCGTACTGTGGATGCTGCATTATGCATTACATACTCCTGACCCCGCACTGTGGATGCTGCATTATGCATTACATACTCCTGACCCCGCACTGTGGATGCTGCATTATGCATTACATACTCCTGACCCTGCACTGTCTATGTTCATTACATACTGTCTGTTATGCCATACTTACTCCTGACTGCTGCACTCTATATAAAATGCTTACATAAAGTCCTGACTGCTACATTACATGCTATCTTTGCATAGATCTGATTGCTGAAATGTATACACTATGATGTACATTGCACTGACCTGACTGCTGTACTCTATATACAATGTTCACATTACATAGTCCTGACTGCTGAACCTTTATATATATACAGTGTTGTACATTACATTGTCAAACAATTCATCCCCACACAGCTACCTCCTCATGTATCACTGGCCCCTCCCTTTTAGATTGTAAGCCCTCAGAGGCAGGGCCCTCCTTACCATCCTGTCTTGTATTGTGATTGTAATATCTTCCTTATATTGGCGCTATATCTATAAATCCTGTATAATAATACATTGTCCTCACTGCCTAATTCTATACACTGGGATGTACATTATATTATCCTGACTGCCTTATTCTGTACACACATGCGCACACAGTCCCAGTTCCGGGACAAGTTCCTTTAGAATCCAAGGGAAAAAAGTCAAAGTTCACCCCTCATGAACGGTGAACTACTTCAGCGGCATAGGTTGCTGTTCTTTCCCTTTTTGCACCCTCTGCGGATGCCTCTTCAGTCTACTCTTCCTCCTGACCCTGCATAGTCCTGACCGATGGGCTCTTACATTCTCCCGACCACTGCACTCTGTACACTGTGTTGTACATGACATGGTCCTGACTGCTAAACTCTATACATTCTATGGTTCATTGCATACTCCTGACCTCTGAACCCTATATGCTGTGCCCTGACCACTGCATATGAGAAGAAACACATACGGGATCTGCCCCATAGTGAGGGCCGGTGACGATGAGCTTTTGTTTTCCATACAAGTCTATGGTAGGGTGGCCATCTTTTCTTCAAGTGAAGCAGCAATTTTTTTTCTTGAGAATATAGAGAGAGCGAGGGGAGGCAGCCAGGGGAGGGAGTAAGGAGACCGGTCATAGAGGACTACAAATCCCAGCAACACATTATACAGCAATACAAAAATAATATGAAGTTACATACGCTGTGTTGTTTTTTTCGGGGTGACGCCCTGATGTCTCCAGGGTCTCAGGTGGCCTGTG